CTCCCCAGGCCTTCACCTTGTTATTAACTGTGTCCATGGGTTGTGCATATGTGCATATAACTTCTTTGGTTAATCTCTTCCCACCCTCCACCCCCCTTCCCTCTTTCCTCTGAAATATGATCATTTGTTGCATGCATCAATGTCTCTGGATCTATTTAGTTCATCAGATTTCTTTGTTCATTAGCTTCTTGTTAAAGAAGACCCTTCAGCATTTCCTATAGTGCTGGTCTGGTAGTGATGAACTCCTTTAGCTTTTCCTTGTCTGTGAAGCTCTTTATTTGACCTTCAATTCTAAATGATAGCTTTGCTGGGTAGAGCAATCTTGGTTGTAGTTCCATGTTTTTCACCACTTTGAATATTTCTTGCCACTCACTTCTGGCCTGCAAAGTTTCTGTTGAGAAATCAGCTGACAGTCGTATGGGTGCTCCTTTGTAGGTAACTAATTGCTTTTCTCTTGCTGCTTTTAAGATTCTGTCTTTAACCTTTGGCATTTTAATTATGATGTATCTTGCTGTGGGCCTCTTTGGGTTCCTCTTGTTTGGGACCCTCTGTGCTTCGTGGACTTGTAAATCTATTTCTTTCCCCAGGTAGGGGAAGTTTTCTGTCATTCGTTTCTCAAATAGGTTTTCAATTTCTTGCTCTCTTTCTTCTCCTTCTCGCACCCCAATAATACAAATGTTTGGCTACATTTGAAGTCCCAGAGGCTCCTTATACTATCTTCATATTTCTGGATTCTTTTTTCTTTTTGCTCTTCTGGTTGGGTGTTTTTTGCTTCCTCACGTTCCAGATTGCTGATTTGATTCTCAGCATCCTCTACTCTACTGTTGATTCCATGTAAATTAGTCTTCATTTCAGTTCCTGCAGCCTTCATTTCAAATTGCTACTTTATTAAGTCATCGACTTTCTCAGTTATTTCCCTAATAGTCTGCTTAAACATCCTTATAAACAAAATTCTGAACTCTGTATCTGTTAGCTTGCTTGGATCTATTTCATTTAGTTCC